GGGTTTTGACAAGATAATTACTCTGCTCCTGAACGCAACGGACGTCAAAATGTTGAATGCACACTTTCACAGCCCTGTGAAATGAGTTATTCAATAAGTGTGAATTTGTAATTACAAATGAGGTCAAACAATAGGGGAAACTACTCATGTTGTGACAGCTGAGGCAGTAAAAAACAAATTTAATGATTAATGCAGTGAAATGGCTTCACAGGAATCATGCAGATGGAGGATTTAGGAAGGTCCTAGAAATGAACTTTAACTGGACACTTGGGACACAAATGCTTCACATCTCTTTCAAAAGATGTAAGCTGTTCCAGTTACATTTAACCAAACTCTGAGGAGCACAGGGACTGGCCTCATGCTGGGACTCTGAGGAGCACAGGGACTGGCCTCATGCTGGGACCCTGAGGAGCACAGGGACTGGCCTCCTGCTGGGACCCTGAGCAGCACAAGGACTGGCCTCCTGCTGGTGCTCAGAGTCAGGACTAAACACAGGGTGAAAGAGCATTTAACTACAATCTGGAACAGTTCCTGATAATGTGGGGCAGGATTCTATTCGGGAAAAACACTGTTCTATTTTAGCTGCTTTTACCTGCTTTATTTTGATTATATATCTCCTCCTTTTCCGTTCTTTGAATGGCTTTTAAGCTTACATTTTACAAAACAGCATCAAATTTCTCAAGCTGAGAACCTGCAATGAATAATTGAGGCATATTTTAATTGTGTTTTTGCTACAACTTGCCCCAGGTGCCTCTCTGTACCACTGTAATTTATGTGTTGGTAAATGGTCTCATACACAGACTCTCATAAATGTAAAATAAGCCCAAATCATTTACTCAGAAACGCCTCTAAACATAGAAGTATTTATGTTTGTCGCTCCCAAAGGACATCGGCAAAAAATATGGCTCCTGTTAGTTCAAATGGAAGTGTGTAATAATGTGCATCCATTAGCAGTCCAATGTTTGTGGGTTTAAATTATGATAAAACAATAAAAAAATAGAAATTCGTGTTGCTCCTGAACCCTGACCATTAAATCTCCCAAATACACTATTGTCAAAATCACAATTCTAATAAAAATGATGGTTTATTGTATGTTTTTTGTCTATATTTTTGTTGTCTGTTTTGTGTTATATGGACTCTTTGTGTGTCTGAATTAAAAAAACATAAACAAATTAAATATTCAATAAATAAATGAGGTTGAAAATGAAAATTTGAAGCAAACTATTGGCATTACTTGTCCTTGATCGTAGTATATTTAATATGTTTTTGCACAATTGTTAATACACATTACCTCGCTAACTGCCTCTGCTTTTGAATACGGTGCACAATCGAGGGGTTTTAATGAGAAATGAGGTGAAATTGGGAGAAAGTAGGTCACATTGTTCCAAACACCTGCAGAGTCGTGTTTGTTTGATACTTGAGTGAGTTTCTATATTAGTTTGACATTGCAGTGTACATTGTGATTACCGCCTTAAGCAACGTCACACAAAATTGCCGTAATCTACTTAGTATGACATTGTTCCCTGCTGTTACCAATTAGACCCCATCAAATACTAATGTCCCAGAGGTTTTAAAGGGTGTAACCAAGTTAAAGGCCTCTGTTAGCATCTTGTAGCGGTTTATACATTCGTTTCGATGGTTTTGGCAGAGAGGAAATAGTTATTCAAAAACTGATGTCGCTGAATTATATCACAGGAGCAAGATTATGGAACGCAATTATTAGGAGAAATTTGGAAAACAAACTGAAAAAGCAATGCAAGAATCAGAATTCTCGAATATTCTCTTATTGTCTACATTATTTTCCTTTGCACATTTAGTAACAAATAATACTACACACAAATAAAATATGCATTTAAGGCCTAAAAATAGAAATAATTACACAATCAAATGTTGATCCATTGCTTAACGAGTCCATCCATTAATATGAACAATGCACAAAGACTGGTCATAATAAAATTACAAATTAGATTCTGATACTAAGAAGGACTCAATACTTGATACCACGGAGATAATCTGAAAACATAATATTTGGGTTATAAGCTGCAATTTTCAAACATCATTATAAACTGCATTTCTTTATTTAATCACATTATTTTCAACCAGCAAAGTTCCACTGAGATTAGGGGAGTCCTGGCTCCAGACAGTCAGGGGGAGGGATAATACAGGGGACTATTGCATATGTTTTTAGCGGCAGGAGTAACCGGAGCACCCAGAGGAAACCTACGAATGAACACGCAAACTCCAGACAGAAAGGCCCCGTCTGAAGGTAGAATCAAACCCAGCATACGTTAAAGTACTTTTTTAATGATAATGAGGTTTAATACTAGTTTGGAGATCAGAAGGATTCAAAAACAGCCCATACAGAGGATATCATGTATTTTCCTGTTTCTGTAATGAGTTTTGTTTTAATAATAGTTTTAGTATTGATCAATATCTGGTCTCTGATTCTTTTGACAGCCTGAAAAATAACAAAAATCCCTTTAATCATAACAATCCATCTACAAAAGCTGGTGATGTTCTGTATTGTCTCATGTTTTTTTCACAGTCCAGTTTAACTATTTGCTGAATATGCAGACACCTGGTTCACACTGATTTATATTCTATGTGTTTATTTTCCCAAAATTGTGTGTAGCTGCGATTTAGTTTGTGATGAATAATTTCTCTGTTTTGGTTTCTGTTCAGTATGAAAAATATGTACTGTATCTTTTTCATAATATTGCAGGTTTCTTGTTTAGAGCCACAGACGATGAAATAGCTATGATTAAGGGTTAATGCATTTTTGAACCATACACAAACTTAAACATGGAGCGAAGAGATTTTATGACTTGAACAAAGCTGTAATTACTGCAGAGGAAATGGAAATGTGTCTGTTTTATTCACAGTCTAGATTCTAAACTAAGCAATCTTTATCTTACCAATAAAAGTTAAAAGTCGTTAATGATACCTTGTTGTTATATAAAAAGCACATTTTTAGCCATCATTTTGGCTGGTTTTATAGCACTGATAAAAGCATGAAAAACTAGGGCTGGATAGAGCACTCACGGTCCATAATCCTCTTTTTTCCCACATTAGTTCTACGGTTTCTCTTGCTACAATACATTACAATACAAAACAATACAATGTACTGTATTCTTGTACAGCCCTAAATCACAACAGAAGTCATCTCAGAGGACTTAACAAAACCATTGAAATCACCAACACAGGTCAGAGAATCAACAGTTAAAACACATAAAGAATATAGAACACATGTTGATAAATGTCCATACATGTTGTAGAATGTTAAAGTGTCACCACAGTCCTTCTAGTTGGACACTAACTGCCCAACAGACCCTCCTGCATCGGCAAAGAAAAACTCATAAGACAGTCTTCACCCATCCTGCAGCTGACAGACAGAGACATTCTATCCCTTTAGAATAAAATATGTGTTCACCTCTTTGACTTTGAAACTGGGAGAGAACCATACAGCTACTTCTAAGATATGGTATGTCTCTCAGAAGAGGCGTCAATGTCAAAGTCAGATTTTGTGGGAAAAAGTGCCTGAACTGGTAAATGCAAACGCGAGAGAAAGCACAAGTTCATAGTTGTCCTTCGCTAGTTTCAACACGCAGAAATAACCTTACGGCAGCTGAAAAGTCCAGCTGGATATTTACAAACACACAGGTGCGACCCAACACTATATTATATCTAAAAAGGACAAGACGTTATTAATTTAACAGCAGTCATATCTGAGGACTTTACAAAGTTGTCCATTTGCCAACACAGATCAGAAAATCAAACGGTTCTAACACATCAGATGCAATAATAACAAACACATAAGCCATTGGTCTATAGGGAGCAAATGATCAATGTAAATAAATAATAGTTTATGTCCATAGATGTCCTTAAAATGTCCATCTAACAAAACCACAATATACAAGTTGGCTTCTATAAAATTATTGAATGAATGAAGCCTTTATAACAGACTCAGGGTCCAACATACGTAGTCACCCCTATCTCCGCCGTTCTAATAAATGGGCCAAAAATTGGGCTTTCATGGAGTGATTTAAAATGGCCACGAGGGCTCAAAAATGTGAAAAAAAGCCTCTGTGCATGCGTCAGCCGGCACGAGCCTCATTCATTTAAACGAGTGCCTTCAAAAATTCACAGCGACTAAACTAGACTGGTCCAAAAAAATTCACCCCCCTCAGCATTGACACACATGTGGAACGGAGCTTTGGGCCAAGAGAAACTTTTGGACAATCCTGTAAAGGTGTTTTCGAGAGGTAATAATAATTCTTATTCCGAGTCCACCCCCATCAGCCCGGGTTTGGTATTGCAAGCATGTCAGCGCACGTCATTTTTGCCACTTTTGAGCCGGGACCCGCCCTCCACTGGTTTATATAGATATGTAGATTTCACGCACAGTTTAATCTGCTCTGGATCATAATTTTTCTATCTAAATAAATTTCTATTTAAAAATAGAAACAGTAAAAGAAATTATTGTATGGCACAAAACAACTGTCAGCTTTCAGAGTGACTTAGGACAAGCTTGATTCAAACTACAATGTAAAGAATAGATTTTTTGCCGGGTTTAAAGTTAGCTACCTAATCTTTAATTTGCACAAATATGAACTTCCAATGCTTTTGACAGCCTGATATAGAACAAATAATCCTGTTTTTATCACATCAAGTTAAATCCAACCATAAAGGGTGGTGATATACTGTATTGTCTCATATGTATAGTCCAGTTCAACTATTTGCTGGATATGATTTATATTCAATTTGCTTATTTTTCTAAACTTACGACAAGCTGCCGTTTCCTGCGTTTTCAAACAAAAAAATACAAGAATATCATATAATTTTTAAAGTTTATAAGTTTAAAGTTAGCTACCCATCTTTATTTTGCACAAATATAAACTTTTTATTTAATTTTTTTGGGCATTGCTTTACAGTGCAGCAGCCATTGTGTCCCAGGCCAGAGAAAAAACCTAATTGATTGAGACAGCGAAGTTGGGAGTAATTCAGCTGATGAGGCTTTTCGCTGTCATGGACTTTTGCTGGCTGGACACAAAGTGGTCCAGGGGCAGGGGCGGGGGTTGGAGGGGGGGGAATGGGGGCAGACAGACACAGGCCAGGGTGCGATGGATAGAGGGTGTTTTGTTAAGTGTGTCGCCCCCGCCCCGTTTTTTACGACCGTCCAGCGTCGGAGAGAGACTGACAGAGAGAGAGAGACACACACACAGAGAAAGAGAGAGAGAGAGAGAGTGCTGACGGAGCGGTTCTCTTCTGGAGGCCCGTGGAGCGGACGCCCACGGCTGGATGGAGCTGTGAAGAGAATGTGGCAGGGGCGGGCGTTAAGAAGACAGCGTTGGGAGGAAACGGGGAGAGGTCTGTCGCCATCATTGACTTATCGTTAACAACGGTGAAGATGTGTTTTTTGGGGATCAATATTTATCGTTCAATATATACTAGTTTTAGTAATGATTATTATCTGATTTCTGATGCTTTTGACAGCCTGAAATAAAACAATACGGTGGGTGAGTGGATAGCATGCTCGCTTCTCAGAAAGAAGGTCCTGGGATCAAATCCCGGTCGGAACGAGGCCTTTCTGAGTGGAGTTTGCATGTTCTCCTCATGTCTGCATAGGTTTCCTCTGGGTTCTCTGGTTTCCCCTACCACTAAAAACACGTACAATAGGTCTAGCATGCGCCTCCTGTGTGGAGTGAGAGACAAATGCCCACAATTGTAAAGGGCTTTGTGACTCTGGTTTGTGAAAGGCGTTACGTATAAGGATGACCTAAAAATCTCTTTTAAGTTCAAAACAGTGGTACTATTTACAGTATTGTCTCAAATGTTTTTCACAGTCCAGTTTTGCTGAACATGTAGACACGTGGTTCCAACTTATATTCTATTTATTTATTTCCCTAAACTTAGATTTTGTGTGTTGCTGCGATTTAGTTTGTGGTGAATCATTTCCTTTTTATTTTGTCTTCACCATGAAAAATAAGCATATTTTTTATGATATTGCGTTGTGTCATTATTTCTTCTTTTTTTTAGAGCCAAGACGATAAAATAGCTATGATTAAGAGTAAGTTAAAGCATTTTTGAACCATACACAAACTTAATGGAGCGGCAGATTTTATGACTTGAACAAAGCTGTAATTACTGCAGAGGAAATGGAAATGTGTCTATTAAGAAAAAAAGGCTGCATTGGGAGAAAACAGAGAGAAGTCTGTCGCCATCATTGTCCTATCGTTAACGTCGGCGAATACTTGTTTTTTTTTTTTGGATATGAATATTTATTGTTCCATTAAACAAAGTGGGGATATTTGAGGCATTTTCCTCCTGGCTATACCAATACAACTTATTCAGGTCTGATCCTTTCAATTAGGGCAGTAAATCGAATAGTTGTTTGGATCCAGAGAGGACAGCGAATATGGGATTTTTAATTTATTTGACCAAAACAAAGTGATGCCCTTGGAGAACATATCCAAAGGGATGATTTGTTTTTTTGGCCGTTTGATTAAAATACTTTGTAAACACACTTTCATTACATTGCTCACTAAATTGGCTGACAACCGTCTAAATTGTTACTTTAGTTTCGATTCATTAATTAACTTACAGCCCTACTTTCAGCATTTAAACCTAACAGGTACAGTATATAAAATGATGTCAGTAAGAATTAAAACGTTCTGGGTAAATATCAGCCAGTAGATAGTCTTTAGGCCTTATAGGGATCTCACCAGTATTTTATCAGTGAACCCCATATCTGTACTATAATAAAGTTCATATTAGTCCAGTGCCAGGGTGTCACAGTGCCACCTCCAAACAGGGCCTTTCTGTGTGGGGTTTGCATGTTCTCCTTGTGTCTGCATAGGTTTCCCCTTCCAATAAAAACATGTGCAATAGATCCGGTATGCGCCTCCTGTATGGCAATTGTAAAGCGCTTTGTGACTTTGTGAAAGGCGATATATTCATAAATATCACTTACTTTCTTAGTGCCCATAGGATGTATGTATTTTGATGTATGTGTTTGCGCTTAAATTTGCGCTGGGGTAACTCACTTTCAAACCACAAAAAAATGTTCCTCATTCTTCTAAGTTGGCTTCTACATACTTTTCACATATATGTATTGAGGTAAGGTGAGTGTTTATTTCAAGATACAGACATTTGATTTGACAAATATAGTTTGAAAAGGGGTTGGACGAAGCAAATGCTTATTGGGCTCCAACCCCCCTCAGGGTTGTTTTATTTGCCTCTGTCACATCTTTAGATCCGACAAAATGTCATGGTGTGGATTTTATTTCTGTATTTGGTTTTATTTGTTCTCTACGGTTTCATTTAAATTTTACTTCCTGTCTTGTTCCCCTGTGTTGATTGTCTGCCCCGCCCTGATGTGTTTCACCTGTGTCTGTGTCTTTGTTCTTGTCCTTGTTCCTGGTCTCGTTTTGGGATTTTTGGATGTTTTGTTACCTTGACTTTTGTTTTTCATAATTAAATCATTTATATATTTTCATTCCTGCGTTTGAGTCCTCCATCATCTCACCTCATGACACAGAAAAGTCAAATAGAGAAGACCAGTTGTCATTCTATTTTACGTGGTTAGACGTCCATGGAGGAGACAGAGAAGGCCGCCGTGTTTCCTCAGCTCCAAACCAAGGTCTTCTAATCTCTCTTCCACGAAGCAACCTACTTTATTCAATGAACCACAGTCTCAAAACACACCCGCAAGCATGGGGAAGTACAGTTTCAAAGGGAAGCCCTCCATATTAACATGCAAACCGTCAAACATATGCATACAGGACACAGGAGGCAAAAGAAACAATGGCCCACATCTGCATGAACACCTCCCGCCAGACCTCTAGGAGACGAGAGTACTAATATACATACACCGGCCATGTCATGACATGGATTTGAAACATTATGTTCTCAAAATTCATTAAAAAGATCATCTAAAAACAACATTTCAATAACAACCACCCTTACTCAGCATGTCAAAGTTTACATTTATTTCCTGCTTCTTAATTACCTGCCCCGCCCTGCACCTGTCCTTCACTCCCTGTTCCATCATGATCATCCTACGTCTGTTTTAGTTCTTGTCATCACTCTTTGTTTGGTTACTTTTTGCGTTTACTCTGTATTATGTGTTGTTCTACTTTTTATTAAAGCAGTTCTTTTTGCTTGTCTGCACTTTGGTCTCTTTTGTTTTTGCCACCGTGACACAGCATGGCTCAAATAGTGCCTCGCTGTGCTATAACACTGTCAGTGAGGTTTGTGGAGAAAAGTTTAAACCAATAGGCAAAAGCATTGTCTGTCAATCAAGAATTGGAAATCATTTTGTCCAATCAGGAAGCAGGCGAGGTGATTATGGGTGGGTTTTAATTGGTGCTTTCTCAATATTTGTACCTTTTGAATCTCACTGCTTTAATTCCCCCGAACTCAGACAAAGCTGTAAAAATAGCTGTTATATAAAAATGCTGTCTACGTTATTAGTCTATAGCTTGTTTTTTTTTACTCAGAGAAACAGGAAGTGCCATAAGTACCGATAGTTGTAAAGTCATTGAGGTGAATAAGCAGGCTGTAAGAAAACATCTTGGCTGCTGAAAACATGAAAATGTTCCCATTTAATGATAATTTCCATGTTTTTCAGACAAAAACTTGGTGCCTTTTGTCATTGTGTTGATTTTATTTTTGTACTTGATTTTTTTTTTTACTTCAGTTCAGTGCTTTTGTTTTAGTTTGACTTCCTGCACTCAAAGAAATGATTCAGGTGGTTAGTATTTTGAACTCAAAATACATACTAAACTAAACTCAATAATAGATTTTTGCCAGTTTTACTTAAATTAGTGTGGTCGCAACTCATTTTAAACATGTCGGTCTCAATTAAAAGTTAATACAAGAATCCTAACTCATTTTTGTAACAAATTTGAACTTGATATTCTGGCATAACTGGACAACGGAGAAGTATTGAGTTTGCTCAACATGAAAATCCTCTTGTAAGCCTGGTGGCCCATTAATGAAAAAACAAATATATTGAGTTGATTCAAAATAAATATATTGAGTTGATTCAAAATAAATATATTGTGTTGATTGAAAACAAAATGTGGCGAAGCAGTGACGCTACCCAGAATGCATTGCAGCGAAAAATATAAACTTCTTAAAAATTCTACATTTGAGCATTAATTTTAAAACTGAATATGAAGCAAGTCCTAAAGCAAAATACTTGAGCAACATTCTGAATAAACTAATTTGACCAAATAAGTAATTGTATTTATTTTTATCAACCATGATCGAGAGGGCCAAGCCAAAGCAGTCCTATACTCCCTGTGTCACCCTTCAATTTTGAACAGATACTTTAAGGTGGACATGTTTACCAGTGACTGTGCTGGTCCACTCTCATATATATGTGGAGTGAGAGACTACTGCCTGAAATTAACAATTGTGAACCGTTTTGTGAATCTAATCTTTGAAAGATGGTATTTGAATAAAGATTACATATTCCTGACTGAAAACCACTTGTTGAATATACTCAAAAAGATTTATTTTCAATGTAATTATTTAAGTTGGTGGTATTGTTAAAATTAAGTTGAACTGATGCTAAAACACTTGCTGAATATACTTTACAAAGTGTCTTTATAACTCAATTATCCAAGTTGGTGGTATTGAAAAAATTGTGCTGGACCAATGATAAAAGACTTACAAAGAATACTTAAAACACAGTCTTGTTCGCAAAACTTAAAAAGATGCATGCAAAATGCTGCCTCAATTTTATTAAGTTTTGCCAATGCATTTTTTTTTAGAGTGTGTCCTGTTTTTGGTTTGTGTTTTCCTGAACTTTAATATCATTATTCTTCATGAAATCTTTTTTTTTTTTGCATTCCTGCTTAATTTAGGGTCCTCCTTCATCTCATTTCAAGACACCTTTATCTTTTGGGGCAATAATATCTTGTAAAAATGGTAAGATAAAATAGTAGGACCTTCCATGGTGTTACAATATACTGTAAAGTAGGTGGGGAAAATGCAGAGATTATGCAGCTCATCAGCTCATCAGCAGCTATGGAAGCCCTACAGGGACATGTTGATCTTAGCACAGAATACATTCACACCTTTCAACAGATACAGAAGATGTCACTTTTTAACTGATTCATAAGGAGTTCTCGTAGGCTACAGATTGTGTGCTTTGTGTATGCCACTTTGCCGCTTTCTAAAGTTATAGCCACAATTACAACTCCGATCCAGAGTTTTACATCCACTGCAGGTTGATGCAAGATTTCTTTTCCACACATTTTCACAGAAGGCTTTTCTCAACCCTCCTCCGCTTTTTCCCTCCTCTCCTCAAGGCTTTCCCAATCTCCTCCGCATGAGAAAGTGAGCCAGAAATAGCCTCACGCCAGCGCCAA